GGTTGATTACCAGTTAGGCTAATTTGACACCTTCTAAGCTGACCTTTATTGGCTAGCTCTCGTGTATTCTGCTGCCTAAATTCTTCACCAATCACTTTTTATCTTCAGTTTGAAATCAATTGATTATTTGTGGGCTTAAACGCAGATAACTTCGCTTGTGTTGAAACTTACTGGCAGGGTCTAATACATTGTAAGAAGCAGGTTGTACACTTAGCACACCAGGGAATGGCGCTTTTAGCATGGTAAAAAACACCTTTGTTTTCCAAAATAGTTAACGGTAAGAGCCGCAATTCTCGTGTCCATTTAAACAATGCATGTACCCAAAATTGGTCGGAATTGTCCGTCCGTTGTATTTTAGCCGCGTTTTCCCAGTTGGAGCCAAAAGGAATGACTGAATTTTGCTGGGCTTTAAAATCGCCGCTTAGACTACGGATGAGTCTCTGAGGCTAATTTCATGAACAATTTAACACAGATGGTTGTGGTATCGCACCGGACGCAAAAATGCCCAGATCCACTTATTAACCAATAATGAAACAATAATCAACGAGGCGGAAAATGGAACCTGTCTATCAATCGCAGACGGCTTGGGGGGGTCCAGTAAATTATAAGCAAAGCAACAGGAGAATTTGAAAACACTTTTGCAGTCTGTTTTGTATGAAGATCAAGAATATGAGGCACTAATAATCACGCAAAAAGTCAAGTTTTACTGAATCTGGATTTCATTCTATCGACGACACAGTAGACTGATGCCACATCTACGAACTCAACCGTCTCTCTTATGCAACCAACTCATCTCCGGTGTGCTGGCGTGCATTTTAGTCCAATCGGGATATCACCAAGTTGACTGATACCGTCAACAATGCTCCAGAATCACTGAGGCTGCTTAGTCAGATGTTCACGAATGAAAGCTTTGAAGCTACGACACAATCAGTATGGGTTGAACCTGCCACAGATAGAAGCACCATGGTATGATAATTAGTTTCACAAACAATCCAACGTCCAAAGACTAATTGTATTTAATTTACGTGACCTGTTCTATATGTAGATAGTCAGCCTTGTTAATTAAACGTTTCAAACAAATACTAACTGGTTATAAAAGGAGAATGAGCCAATGAAATGGCACAGTTGGAAGACCACCGACAGCCGAAGCAAGATTCGCTACTAATTTTGAATGCGTCAAATTAAGTCATCTGCAAAATGCTACTTTGGTAAAATTAAGTAGACTACCATGTAGATAATGGCAGAATGTTTTACTGAACCCTTCAAAGCTCCTAGCGGTGTAGTAGTGTATGACATACTTGGATATTGACAACCACTTCCAGCCAACTTACCTTTGATCTACGGATAATTTTTTTAAAAAAAATCACCGTCACTGTAAGGCGTACACTAATAACAAGGAAAGTTAGCACACGTTTAAAGTAATCTGCACAATTGAAGGGCCAAAATGGGATTGCTCTGTTACTGACCAGGACTCAGTCAAAACTAAGTGTGGTTGCGGGTTACTAGAAGCCTCCTAAATTAAACTTAACACAGGAAAACAGGGGCAGCTCGTTTGTTTGGATTTGAGACAAACGCAAATTAGACCATGTGAGAGTCCAAAGGAAACCGCAAAATGGAGAAAGCGACAACGAACTGGGCGAAAAGTGGCTTTTGCGAGAGCTGTTGATACCTCGTGACTCCAGTTTGTGACACCAAGTGACGTGGGAATGTGACGCTTTGTCGTAAAGGCTTGGAAGGTGCACAACACAATGGTTCCGGAAATTCGCTTACAAAGAACACAGGAAAATGGATTGGAGAGAGGCAAAAGCGTCTCGCAGACTAGACACACCATCGTATCAGTGTTTGGGGCGCGACGGCTGCTCAATGAACAGGAACAAACACGAAAAGGCAAGGAATAAAGCCACACACACACACACACGACTTAGGATGGATTTGCAAGAAATTCCAAAGAAGTGGTTATCGCGAGAGGAGGCGTGTGTGTGTGTGTAAGCTAGCACAACGCGCGCTCCAATTACCCTCCTAAACCCGTAGATTTAAACGCAAAACGATTGGAAAAGTGTTCTTACTTCCCCGCTTCCTTGCAACCACCCGACTTTAGGGGATATTTTTAAAGGTGTTTAAAGTGTGGAAGCCCATTACGAAGCATTGGGGGGGGGGGTATGACTTGACAATCAAGGAATCCAATTCACGCTGCCGCCAAGTGCTACTACGTGGTTGATTAATTAATTCAAAAACGGCGAAAATTGCCCTTGTAAAAACGGATGGAAGACGAATGTGGAACCGTTTGAAAGGGTCATGTTTTACAGGTACAAGTTGCACGGAATCACGCTGAAATAAGCAATCGCTTCGGACACGTCTATGGACGAAGCAATTGAGACGTGGTTGTGGCAGTGCACAGAGGCATCGGAAGGCATTGCGGTAAGTGTTTATACAAATTGAAAGGGACAAGTTAAAATCAAGAAAAAGCCTCCGAACAAAACACGCTATCCAAGTTTATCTTGATAAAGCGACGCTACAGCAGTGCAGTTAATAGAATTTGACTTGACAACAGTCAAAAGTCATGAGGAGCTGTGTAGAAATAACAGACCAGTAGTTGTTGTTTAAATTCAGCATAGATTTTGACACCTTAAAATCACATGCATATATAACAGCCACAAAGGTGCCACCCAGTGTCCGCAACTTGGTAAAGGTCAACCATAGCAATTTAGATTTTGATCTTACGAGTTCAAAGTACACGATTTCCAGGATTACACGACAAACAACGTGTTGAAGGATGCGATGTGGAAAAGCAACTTGCCATGTGGTCAGTCAACAAAGTGACGTATGAGGACAAGAGGGATTAAGCAGGTGTCGGCTGTCAAACGGCCATGTTCACCAAGGACACAAAAATCAGAATGGGGTTTGCTAACAGGTTTGTGGATCGTCATACATCACCTTAGGTAAGTACTTGTTATGTGGGTGAGGTAGTTTTTGATAGAGTAAAATCAATACCTTATCAAAAGATCATTTTTAGTGCGTGTTTCCCAAAAAAGCCACCTAACAGGATGGTCATAAGAGGTATGTGCTTAGGATGACTATTTAGTTCGGTGTACCAACAATATTTGCGCCCAGTAGTAGCACCAGCGTCAAGAATTCGACATTCCTCGATATAATGATTTCGGTTTTTTTTTCAAATGGAGAACGACTTCCCTCATTATTCGCATTAATAGGTTGAATTACGTAGGCAGTAATCAACAACTGACGATCTGAAGAACGTCGAATGTCGCCTAATTCCATCGATTTCGCTTGAGCTTAACGCGACTGGAAACGCTTCAAGAATAGTTTCAGGCTGAATCTTCCAAACCCACTAATTGAATGTGTTATTAGCCAGATTTAACAAAATGTAGCAGACTACTGAAGTACTAATTTCCTTCATTCTACTCAACTTGCGATAAAAAAACAACACTTCCTTTGTCAATGTGCGTCTAAATGTCTGAAATCATCCCAATCTATTATTCTAATTTTACGACTTTCAGGTAATTTGGTGAGTGGTTTCGCTACCCTCTCAGTCTCTTTTATTGGGTAAATTGAATAGAACGGAAGCCGGACACCGCTTACTCATAAAAAAACCTGTTTTTTTAAAGAAAATACAGTCTTGGAAGCCATTAACCCCAATGCTTGCAACTGTTAATGACAGGCTAATGCAAACACCAGTGGTGCAAAACGCCGCAACAACCAACCGATTTGACCGCCAACACAAGTGACAAATCACATCGCCCACAAAAATACGGGAGTAAGAAGCAGCGGACGCACTTTTATCAACGAACTCTGGCAGAGCCAAACACTAAACTGAGGTGTTGGTATTGTGTAGGTGGTAAAAATTACCGATTGTTTAAATAGCATGCAAATTGCGGAAGTCGGATGTCGCCTACAGCCACCGAATTTCCCGCTTCTTAAAGTGACGCATTAAAACAAGGTCGAATCGATAAATCTAGTGAGCAGGAAATGAAAAGTGGACCGGAAATTACTCACAGACAGGGGCTTTTACCCCTGTTTCAGCTGCGAGGAATGTCCTTACGTGAAGCCAAAAAAAAAGATTCTCGTGTCAGAGTGGGCTATTGTTACAACAGACAATACCCTGAGACGAGGGAGAGCATTTAATGCTTGTCTTTTAATGTAAAGAATGCCTAAGGAAACGAACAACTGACATCAGAGTTTTAATACCAAAAAAAAACTGAAAATGCCTATTTAGGCATGACTTCCGATTCGACTTAAATGGATATCCAGACGACTACGAACGGTCGAGTTCAAGGCAAGCCGTAGAGTTGAAGGACTTGTAGCGGATAGACAGCGATCGCGCCTGAGTGAACCTTATTTACTGACCTGACGGCGACAATGACTCATCCTCTTTTCATTGGTTACTGTTATCAGATTCCTGTCATCCGTTCACTCATCCACACACTTGGCTGGCGTGTCCTCTGTCGCCCCTTGTTCCACGCTTCTCGAGTTGTTATGGGCTATTAACTAGAGGGTTGTGAGGTAGTGCTAAGACTCGGGCTACTACAGACTATCTGAGAAAACGCGAAATCTGTTTATCGACGACCACACCTGACTTCAAAGGCATGATATGCCAACGCCTCGTAGTGTCAACGTCCAAGACGGCAATCTGGCGTGCGGTACTGGTTAGTAGATCGACCATTGACTCAGATTGTGGTAATGGACGATTACATCAGATGTCGCCATGGCAACACCAGCTGATTTTCCAGCAACCAGAATCTCAGGAGCCCTGATTTATGCATAAAGTCGGGATATTTCGGTTAAAATGGACGAAATGACACAAGCAAAACCATCACTCCCGCCCCTGAAGGAAGACTGAAGGGGGAACAGACACAGTCGAAGCCCACCAAGGTAGACGTGGATGCCAAAGAGACGGGGTTTTTTTAGTGGAACAACTGCTACAGCCATACTTGGGGCAAACTTTGGCTTGCTAGTAAACTGGTAGACTTTACGAGAATTGACAGTTAGAGGAGGTGGTAGAGGAACTACAATACGTACGACGCATGAAAAATGACACCCCAACACGTTAAGACACGTCTTGCAGGGCATTTGACATGCGAGAAAGTGGAAAACACGACAAGGTCGACAGAACGAAGGTTAAGTTAGGCGAAAGCTTACACTTTAAAAATACTGGCCATGTTGGGACAATTTTCAAAACAAAAATCGGGCAAAAATTGTGTTGGCGCTGATTTGCGAGATTACAGACAGGCGATAAGTGAATCTAGCGGGTGGCATCCAGCGGGGCCAATTAAATTCACGCCTTGGTGTATGTGTGCGCACCACCACCAGCAAACCACGCTCACCTGGAGGCTGGGGATGGCGTTGACCTCCTCTAGCAGGCACCTGGCGCACTCCAGGTGGCGTCCGACGGTGGCCAGGTGGAGGGGGGTTTGGCGGAGGGCGTTTCTGGCGTTGACGTCGGGCGGCATGGGCTGGGGAGGAGGGTCGCCTGAGGCCGACGACGTCGACTGTGGCTCGCGGTCGACGAGGTTGAGAGTGGCGGCGATCCTGCGCAGCACGCACAGCGCCCCGCCCTGGGCGGCCGAGTGCAGCGCCTGGTTGCCGTCGGCGTCGCGCTGTCTGCAGTCCGCGCCGTGCTGCAGCAGCACGTCCACGCAACTCAGGTGGCCCGACTGGCAGGCCACGTGGAGTGCTGTGGCTCCGGCGTAGTGCGTATTCACCTAGAAGGTGTCAGATTACAACAAAACCGGGCTCAAGTGCCCCCAAAAGAAGCCAATAGCGGGGGATTAACAGATTTGACCTCGCGCCATCTCTCAGGTAACGTAAAAATGTTTTTCTGATCAAGCTCTTCTCTTAGTGCGTTCAGCTGTCGGCTGTGGCTTTGCGTAGTCACCGTCTGACCGGTTTCCAGGAGTTATTAATCAAGTACACTCTTCGTGTTCCACGACCAGATACACAGGAGAACCTTCTTCAAGGGAATGTGCTGTTTCGGCGTCGATGTACCGGGTTACCCGCCATCTACCATAGACTTTTTGCGTTTGAGATTCTCGGAAAATATGCAATTTTCATCACCCATCACAATTTTCCACAAGAAGTCCATTCACTGCTTGCTGCCGGTGGGCAAAAGCAGTGAAACGCATGCGTTCATGCGTTATCGTTCCGTTTTCTGAAACCTTTTAAAACCACAAGCGACCACGAAAGTACTTCGATTTTACATGTAACTTTAAGATCGCATAAAAAATCTGCAAAAATTGGGTCATGCGCCGAATAAAACGGGTGGTAGGAGCCACAAACAAACAAACAGACAGACAAACAAAGGCACTAACATCGATTTCCCGGTGTTTGATGAGCCAGGTAATCTTTTTGACGTTGCCCTCGGCAGCGGCGAACATGAGCTCCTCGGCCACCTGCTTGCTTGATTGTTTCAACAGACTTCTCGGTACCGAGGTTTCTAGAAAACGAAAACCGATAATACTACTTATAGTTATTAGTAGGCACAGCACAATCTTGCTGACCGTTGACACACACGGTGGCAGAAATACGGCCTGAACTGAGTCGACAAGTCCAAATTTGGCCAAAGGTAAAGGAGCAGAAATCAATACCTGAGCGTAATGGTTGGATCGTTCTTGATCGGTTGCTCCACCGATTGTGTGAACACTCCTGGTCAGTAAATCGCTTGGGCGAAACACTGGCATGTGAACGCAACCTACCAGAATCCGCTGTTGAGGTTACAAAGCGTTTCATTTATCTAATTACGAATCGGTCGAAAAAAAATTCATATCACGAACAACACGACGAATGACAGACTTGACTTCTAATGATCGTCATAAAACAATAACTACTTAAATGTGTCAGTACGCAAAACGTTTTAAAAAATTCATTCAATTCTTTGCAGTACTCGTATTGCCAACCGGGCAGTGTCTAGAAGCATCACAGAAGAATTCACAACTTGGATAATAATTAAATATAGTGAACCATAGGTAAGTCGATTTATTCAAGGCTACACTGACAGAGGGACAAGATACATGAGTCACCTTCCGACCTCATGAACACGAAGTAACTGTTTACGGACGATAAATGTTTGAAATCTACTAATGCTACAAGAAGTACTCTTTCTGCTACTACCGTCAACTTTACTGTTCTCGATCTTTACTGTGATTGTCCTTGCTGAGGATGTGTCGCAAATCGCTTTTCGAATCTGAGGTATGCAAGATGGAAAAAAAGAGAGGCAAGGGCCTACCGTGCTGTTCCTGCTGCTGACTTGGTTGTTCGCGCGAAGTCGACGGTTGGGGGGTACTGGAGGCTTGTTGTGGTGGTGGTGCAGGCGGTAGCGGTGGTTGTTGGCTCTCCGTGGCAACGGTCTCGGAGGCGTTGGCAGCAGCGGCGCGAGCGTACGAGTCACGACGGCGAATGCGAGTGAGCAGATTGGAACTGGTTGAGGCGTGCCTGGACAGGAGTCGCTCGTCGGATCTTTGAGGTTGCTGCTGATGGTGGTGTTGGTGGTAGGAGGCCATTGAGCTGGTGAGGGTGAAACGCTGGCCTGTCTGCGGGATGAGCAGCACCACGGAACCCGTCGTGTCATCCACGCGTTCCACCACACTCGGCAGCGAAAGGTACTGCGGACGAAGACAGGTATGTCATAGAATGTTTCAGCACAAGGCACACGATTTCTGAGCTGGAGATGACAAGGACTCGAAGCCATTCATCCGACTTCGAAACACACTTGGCAATTTCGCTACTGCGCTGTTTTCAGATTCTGGCCCTAATTTGGCTACGCGAAAAGATAACTTATGGGATGCGAAGGTATTTAGCAGTGTGAATAAATAAGCGCGCATTCCAAGCTATAAGTGCTGATTTGTGTGGCAAGCGCCTTGGGCAAGTTACATTATAATCAGGAAGAGGTGGTCAAGTCAAATACTCCCAGAGAACACCAAAGCAAAGGCAGGTTATTCCCAAGTAGATCACGTAGTAACGTGAAATCGAATAATCAAAGATTAGAGACGGCTTTGTTTGGTGCTGATGTGTATAACTGACCTCAGAACTCGACGCCGTTGCTGGAGTCAGCGCGTTTTCGTTCACCATTGAGCGCAGACGAAGCTGGATCACAGCACCGGGTCGCAGTCGCAGAGCAGATGAGCGACATATTGCTGGCAGAGATGCCTGTCTGGCTCTCCCGGAAGACGAAGGCCCAGCCGTGACGACAGTTGGACTGCCACCAATGGTGGTTGCGCTGCCATCCTCCGAGGGAGCGGAACCGCCGGCGCAGAAGAGGTCGGCAAAAAGCGTCCGCGACGTTCCAGTTCCACCACTACCACTGCCTCTAGGCCGTTGCGCCGGCAAGGAGCTCGGTCGAGATCCGGATTCGGCGTCTGTAAGGGGAATGCGATCGCCTGGATCGACAATCGTTGACTCTTCGTATGCTTCGGCGATTGCTGAAGACGTTGCTGTGGCAGGCGGAATGTGCCCACGAACACGTGACATAGCCGTCCAAACGATGTTTTCGATTGGCGGTGGTGGGGGTGGTGGTGACAGAACGACTGTTGAAGTCGAAGCTTCGAATTCCGGTGGAGGAGGCAGATCACGAAGGTCACCCAAGAGAGGCAGGTGTTCACTGTAATAGGAACCGCCTAAAAACAAAAGCGAATCTATCGTCTACCACATGCTTAAATTGATGTACCAAAGAGTCATAGGTCAGTTGCGTGGCCCAAAAATCCAGCAAGCACAAATTTAGCTGTGCACCACAACCCAAAAATAAGTTTAATTGGGCCTAGTGTAATTGTATGCTAATTGAGCGTTTCAAAATTAAAAAGAAGGCAGGTGATCCATTAATTGATTCTCGGACACCAACCAACCAGAAACGTCAATGCTTACGCCTGAACTCAGACAATAATTGCAGTATTTTATTGATTTTGAAAACTCACAGTTTATTGGACCGGATTCTACCAGTGAACTTTAAGCTTCCAAGACTTGAAGAGATAAAAGGATACCTTTAGCGGGTCGAACTGCCTTGAGGTCGACCATGCCCATATAGCCTACACGGTAGACGTTATAAGCGCCAGAGTCCCATGCGACGGATGCAGCAGACTTGGGTGCCCACTGAAACCAGTCGCGTCGATCGATAATGCGGCCCTGACAAGGTGTGGCGTTTTCACAAGCACCAAGAGAGGAGGATGGTGGCAATGGGGCCAGGGGGTTAGACAAAGTGGTACCTCCGTTGGCGGTAGACGCGGGAACCACAGCGGCACAGTCCTGTGTACCCCAACGCCAATCAAACCCGCGCACAACACGCGCCCGTGGAAAGAGACCAATGGCATCTGTCTTCTGGGCTTTTGAGCGACGACCCACTGCAACTCTAAACAAGAAAATTGGCTACGTGTTGGCTTGCATCAAAATGCCTCGCAAACTATTTCTTCGGGTTTATCCATTAAATCAGCATAGTCATAATAATATAACTTAGAAGTGTGTGAAACCCGATATTGGGGAGAGGTTTAAATGAAATTTTTAATAAATCTGGTTAGTGAGATAGACGTTTAAATCACTGCGAGGATTGTAGCTTACCTGACGCCGTGAGGAGTGGTTATTCTTAAAAACGGATGGCTCAAGCAGTGCTTGTCTCCGTGGTAACAGGACGAGCATAAGTCAACATTCAGACACAACATGCACTTCCATCGAATGCCGTAGATGGGTGATTCGTTACAGCCCTCGCAGATGGTGTCGAGATGGCGCCTGCCAGTTGGTGAGCTGTCAAGCACGCGTAGATCAAAGCCCAGTGCTCCGCAGCGGTAGTTGGCAACTATGCCTGAGTCCCACAGCACTACAGCCTCGCCGCGAGCCTCAAAACGACGGAGAGAGCCTACGTGACCATTACCTCCATCCTAAAAATTGCATGAAATTAGTTGCGAACGAAAAATAAAGTTACGGGAGCGATAAGTGACCTCATTGTAAAGAAAAAAATATAATCGAAGTGTTTCTGGTGTTCGGTTAACCGATTCGCATCGATTTTAACGAACACCATCTTTCATAGGCCGATATTGAACCTCAAAAAATAGATTACAAATCCAAATAGTAAACGATGCAATGACAAACCGAGTATCAAAAATAAGGCTTGTTGTTAATTATGACATTAACAGCTCTATCACTAAACATTACAAAACACCTTTGTGATAGATTGACGAACTAGTTTCTACAAAACAAGAGCAGGAAGTAGGTGCTATTTACGTACAGATATAAGAGTACAAACCAAAACAAAGAAATAACGATGAGAACCCAGGTATCATCTTTTCAAGGGCAAAACCTTTCAGGCAAAATTGGTTAAATATGGAACTTGATTTCAGTATAAACAAGCTCATAGAACCTCATATTTAACGTAGCCAACAACACAAATGACTTTTCCATCGAAATTAGGGAGATGACCCTCTGGGAACAGCCCATAACGGCTACCTCTTACCTGATTTCCCCATTTCCAATCCGGCCCACGAACAACCCTACAGCCGATCCCAGATGCGCAAAGGGACAAATCGGTGTAACGAGAATTCATTTCGTGAAAATGGCCAAGCCCTCACTGAAACTGCCACTGTCCAATAGGTGTGGACAAGCCGCCATCCCATTTCAAGGTCAAGGTCATAGCTTTATTTTTTTTCGATGGGATAAGTTTCTCAGACGTTTTGTTAAAACAATATGGCATTTTTAAAGGTAAATCTTTGTTTTAGTGGACATAAAATTTACATTAAGTACATCAATTTGAACAAATGTGGCTGAATGTCAAGGTGTGTCCATGTGGCTAGTCAATTCTAAGTGTCCAATTATCTGATTGGTCGGGTCTGCAATCAGCGTAACCTATTTGATTCATTCGACCCCAGCTGCACATTTTGAGGCTTGAGAAATGTTGCAATTTCGTGTTCTTTCTCGTTTGTCTTCATTTTACCAAACTGCACCGTTGTTTAAGCTTAAGAAGCCACTTTCCGTTACTGCAAAACTTTCGAACGGTAAGTTGTTGGTTTGTCCCTAGTTTCTGTGAATAACCGACAACAACTGATTGTCACACCTTTTTGATAATTAACATGAACTTGTGGGTCTGTGTATTATTTAGGTCAAGATGGTTTCTCTGGTTAATTTTGTCGCCTTCACTGAACTTACTTCTCTTGGTCACTTCTGTGTCTTAATGTACTTTTGTTTGTAACCATAAATCCCCCAATACCAAGGTTCTCGGTATTCATGTTTGTATCCAAACTCCGATTTCAAACTCTCAGAGTCGATCTCATAGATTTTCTATCAATTTTAAAGTTCCAGAATGTGACTTGTTATTTTCTTCCATGCGCCCATTGGTCTTTCGAGCGGTAAGAATCTAGTACCATTTTCATGATTCTGTTGAACACTAGCGTATATGCTTAATGTTTGTCAAATAGATAAGCATCCCCCTTTAATGTGTTTTGAGAAAGGGGGTTAAAATTTGATTCAATTTTATTCCCATTCCAACCAGTTGCTTAAAATCAATAAAATTCTTTCTTCTTTACATTGCCACTTTGTATTGTGCTTTGTTCGCTATCCAGCGGGCTTTGGTTGGTTCGCTTTGCATGCATATTTTGACAATGTGAGTTATCTCACTTCTGCTGCCGCTGCTCCGTTTCTCGACATGCAAACCCCCCACTCTGTTGAAGCGCAATAACCGTTCTTCCGTCATACAAATTAAACAAAGCACTGTTCCTGTTAGAGTTCTCATTGAGCTTAATTCATTGACTTGCATGGATTTCAAGTCTATGTATTTATCTATCCGCTGTTCATGCAAGTTAACTGTAGACTACTTTAGCTCTGTCTTTGCTTGTGTTTTGAGAATCTGTAAACTTTCCCATTGCTGCAGAACTTTGTTAATGATTTGGTGAGAGGGCACTGGATAGACGTTACTTTTTCGGCCATAATTTGAAAGCTTCACTGATATTTCGTCTACCCCTACTTTACTCTTTGTAGATGTCAGGTATTCCAACAGGCACGAATGGGTAAAGGTTGAGAGAAACATCTGTACCGTTGGCTTGTCAGAGTATGCTTCTAAGCAACTGGGTGATGTAGTCTATATTGAACTGCCTCAGATCGATGCAAAGTTGCACAAAGATGGTGAGTTCGTCTTCGTTTAAACTCTTGTCTTTAGACGAAGTCGGTGTCGTCGAGTCTGTTAAAGCAGCCACTGAGCTCTATTCGCCAGTTGGTGGGACTGTGAAGCACATCAACACAAAGGTTGTCGACAAACCATCACTTCTTAACAAATCCCCTCAAGACGATGGTATGCTTTTTTAGAACCAAATGTTATTAGATGTCCCCTCTTCTCTCTTTATCGTAAATTGACTGTCTTCTTAGTGCCTATCTTGGCTTTGGAATAATATGAATAGTATTGATCTTTATCCAAAGCCTCATCAACCCTCAAAGCACCGTAACTGAGTGATTAACTTAATCACATACAATTAAGCCACAATTATTGACCAAACAAAGTTCATAATCCAGTGATGAGCCCTTTCTTGAAAAGCACCACCCCCTCGTGATTAGCTCTTAGCTTCGCACTTAATGATTATCAAGCCCAGACAAGGTAATCTAACAAGCTAATGCACGGAAGACAGGATCCAGCATTCATCACGTCGTCTAGTGCCTTTTTCCTTTCCAGGTTGGCTCTTCAAATTGGAACTATCGTCTCCCGAAGAGGTGGATAGTTTGATGACGGCATCGGAATACAAAGACTTCCTCGACTCCGACGAGTGTTAGCCCCCAGTACTTGGCCTACTGTGCTCCTTCGTGATTGAGCTTATTACATAATTTTACACCAAACGATAGTATTTTAATACGTCTTTTTGACATGCTGTACAATGTTGCTTTACATACTGTACTAAAAGTGAATTTCAAAAAGGATCATACATTATTTATATCAACTTTTCGTCGCACAGTTTCAGTTTAGCTAAATAAATCCAACGTTTCTGGAATCCAGAAGCAAACGTAGGGTAAAATAATGCTTAAACAGGTTTCTGGTGGTCGTAATGACTGCAGAGGTAAGTCTAGCGTGCAAAAAAGAGGAGGACGATCTGCGTGGTAACCGGTTCACTTTGTTTTTGTGTCATCCTCCCAGGCCCTGTAGACTCGTTTGTTCTCCCAATTATTGATATCTATCTTTTTGCCGGACTTTGACATAAAGCTATACAACTGGGCCTCATCAACGTTCTCAGTAAAACTGAGGGGTTCCTTCTGGCGACGCAGACGCTCTCTGGTTAACGCAACAAAGTAACCTGCAACAATGATAGTTCCGGCGATTGGAGTGGCTCGAAGAAAAAAGTCCTTTAGCGATTTCATTGTGAACCAAATTTCTCCTTCAAAATCTCTTCACGTTCTTTTGGTGGTGGGAGATGCGGCTTGATTCCTGCTTTTTTCCTGGCTTCTGTGACTTCAGTCTACGCGGTTTAAGTCATTTTTAAAACCATTTTACCCAAAATGTTCGACAGAAACGCAAGTTTTCGACGTATTTGCGACAATTTTTGAACAATGAAAAGGACTCAAGGCAGTTTTGGGCTAATTCTTTTTCCTACAAAAGTAAATGAACTAAAATAATTTACTTTTATGCACGGATTATCCGGTGGGCTATCTTCTGAGTTCATTCACTAAGCCACCTGAGCATTTAATGTGGTGTGGTGTGGCGTCGGATCAGGGCGCAGACATATTGGACCACCTGGCCGCAGCCAATCCTGTGTCTCTCTGTGTTCCAATGGCATGCGAGGAAGATAAGCAGCCAACCAAAGAAGGGCACGACTGATGTGCAGTATATAATGAGCGGCATGACCAGTATGGTCGGACTCGGATGGAAGGCGCCTGACGTGAGGCTCTGGCTTCTGATTGGTCAATAAAGCCTGTTCTGTTGTACCAGTCTTCTTCCTATTAGGGCTCGGGTATTCTACAGTGGCGTCGGATCGGGGCGCAGACATGTTGGACCACCTGGCCGCAGCCAATCCCGTGTCTCTCTGCGATCCAATGGCATGCGGGAAAGGAAGGCAGCCAACCAGAGAAGGACATGGAGGAGATGCAGTATATAAAGAGCGGCGTGGCCAGCGCGGTGGACTCGGATGGAAGGCGCCTGACGTGTGGCTCTGGCTTCTGATTGGTCAATAAGGCCTGTTCTGTTGTACCGGTCTTTTACCTATTAGGGCTCGGGTATACTACAGTGGCGTCGGATTAG